CCCCGGGTAAATTCAGATTGAACGGGGGACCGAATTTACCTTTCGCGGGGTTAACGTAGACAGCTCGTAATCATAACTTGCTACAATTCGGCTACTCGGTCTTGCGACTCCCGCGTTACATTTCTCAGACTTCTTAAAGACCGAGGAAAGTATAGCAGTAATATTGCGGGATGCGGGCTATTTTCATCTGATGAAGTGCAGGAAAGTTTCGCAAACCATCGTGCGATGATGGGAAGAAACTACCATTATCGTAAAGGAAAACTTTAATAGGTCTATTGTTAATCAATGGATTTTCACCTGCGAATTTTCATTCTTGATCATTAATGATATAAGCCTATTATTGATACTTGGGTAAGTCTGGAAAGTGGGAGGGACAGTCGATATTGTGTCCCCCACCCTTCAAAAAGTGGGGGGACGTGTCCCCCCTGTCCCCCCATGATCGACGCCCCTGTGCCAGCAGTCAAATTCATCACAACTAATTAATTGTGATTTTGGCTGATTTTGTAAGACTGAGCCAAATTGATCTTTGATGTTTTGAGATAAGCCATGCATGAAAATATACGTGATAGGACGTTTTAGTAAAAACAACAACTGAGCCGGAAATAATACAATGTGTGACCTTGAGAAATGCGTAATTGGTTATAATTGAGACAAACAACAAACGATGCCTGTGACGTACTGTCCGTCTAGATGCGTCTATGTTTTTATATTCCACCGCCCATCGTCTTTATGATTGGGCATTGATTCGTATCAGGAGCAGATTCTCTTACGTTAATTCGATAAATGATAACTGGCGATGTCCCGATTGTCTCGTTTGCCCTTGGCTATTGTTCAACGATTTACTACATACTGTATATGGCATTGTGGTTAACTTGTATAAGTCTGCGAAACATGGCAGGTAAATTGATAAGTCACCTTGCATTGGAAATGACCTTGACAACAACTGAATATAATTCTTGCGGCTATGCCTCCGTGGCTCGATGCCGGGTCGATTGAAAAGTGTCCTTCTCATGTAAGCATCCATTCATTGAACGACCGTGACTAAACTGGGAAATGTGCCACATATACATATGTCATTGCAGCTGTACTCTTTAAAGTCTGATCCGATACACTGACAGAAAAAAAAAAAAACGACTACCGATACATCATCACGAAGCAACATTGCCCGTGTCATTATACAGTCGATGGACCGAACCGTGTGTAACCTTTGCTATTATACGATCAAACTTATTCTGGGTTTAATGGAGTCGACGTGAACCTCCGCTCCGGTGACAATCACACGGTGAAATAAATAAAATAAAGCACTATGGGATTTACACTGTCGATATTTACAAAGTTTTATAACTAGCTGGGAACATATTTTGAGGGTTGGAAAGAAAGATAGCTTATACAGAAAAAAAATAGCATTTAGGACTACATTTTACATTTCTACAGGAAACATGAAGAAAGTTTCATTTTACAATTAAAAATGTGTTTTAACATTTTACAATTATTAGAAATGCTTAATTACATTTTACAGAATTGTGAATTGTTCAGACAATAATATTAAAAAGACACGACTACAAAGTACGTAAAAAAACTACATATGAATTCAGAAAAAAAAAATCTGTTGATTGCCCGTTAGGTCATCCACTTTTTTGGACAGGCACTTTTGACCCCCCCCCCCTCACATGAGCAAGTTTCTCTGTTTAACGTGCATTGAACTAAAATTCACAATGATAGCTAACCAGTCAGACATCCCAATCAGATTTCACAAACTTAACTATATAATATTTTGTTAAACTCCAATTATCAATAAACGTATTCCCTACATATGTGACACCATAATCGTAAAATCTTATTGTATTATTTTTGTGCCTCCATGGCTGCCCAACTGTTGATAAGGTAGTCGACCATTTCAAACAGCAGAGTTTTCATCAACCTCCAACTTTTAATTATACGGTTATTCACATTTCATAACAGTTGTGAAGTATGGTACAGCTTTGGATCACAAATATGTAGTGACACGTTTTACGAAAAAAAAAATAATTGTGTGCATATTTGGTAAAAAAATATATATGTTACCCAATTCTTGAGGTATGCATAAAACGTCAGCAAAACGTCAGTGTCAGCAAAATTTGCGTCTCAAAATGCAGGAAATTTCAAAATTTTTAAGGGGTACATGCCCCCCCCCCCCCCTAGTTGGTATGTAGATCTCTGGATGGTGGTATAGCCAAGAACATAACTAGATTTGCGTTCTTTTTGTTGAATATCTAATGTCAAGTGCGGCGATTAAGACCTTTAACTCAGAGCACTATAATTCATTCGGCGAATAGTGGCACACTGAAAGAAGCCCGGTTTCAGTACGACGACACAATGAAGGCCAAACTACAGTAATATGATTGTAGAAACACACGTTATATATATTTCGAAAGATAAAGGGTTTAATTGTCAGTGATTTTCTCGACGTTGATTCGATTTTACATTTTCCCTTTCAGAATTGCGCTTGGAGACACTGCTTGGAACTATCAAACAGATTTGGTTATCGGCTGTGGCGCATTATACTCACAAACATATGTATCTATCAACCGATATCATATATTAAATTGTTCCACGCGTGTTGGTCTATAAAACGAATGAGAATGGATCAGGACAGTACAAACGTTGAGAGTGCGACATAAACCGAATGTCAAAAACACTAAGTCGGTCAACATGGGTGTCTTAAAAAGGAAACCCAATGAAGCGAACTGACGTATAATGATTAAACAATTCATCATCTTGACGTTGAATTTTGTTTCCATGGAAACCGCTAATAGTACTATTGCTACTTCCACATTTTATTACGCTAGTACAGCATTTACTTATATATGTTTCTTCACGATTGAAATTTTATTGAAATTGTAATATACTGGTAGGTTGTCGATATGAGGTGAGTGATTGGAACTGTCGCTAAACATCTTCTTATATTACCGTAGAGGTCCTTGATAGGTTTAGCCAACTGTTGCACAGACGTATTGGAACATTAATTTACATTACGTGTGCGGTGACCCTACTAACCGACTGACGTTGACGAACATATAGGCGTGAATAGTTTACGCAAATCAACAAACAAACCATTGTCGACAAGCAATCGAGTCATTCTTTTAAGCAGAATTATTTTTTGGTCGAATATGAAACAATGAATGTACACTATGTCGAATTTCGTCCCAGTCATAATAACCAACACTTTAGGTATTAAGACAGAAAACTGTAAAAATGATATTCACTAATATATTCGCCAGTCAGTGACTTCATTGCTTACATCAACGTTTAACAATGACATAGTTATTTTTCATGATTTACACCTCCGTATTTCTCATATTTGTTCATTTTTCTTTCCATGTGTTACTAATTCGCCTTTATATTTTCAGTTAACTTTGTCACCGAACTAAAAAAAAAAAAAAAACATTCCGAATTTTGAGCATATTGTTATAGGTGATCATTGACTGACTTGTTTTATGCTTAGCGAAATATCTACCGATATATAAGGGACGATAGAATCCTCACCTACAGCGCAAATGTACTCAAACACAAAAAAATGTACGAACATAATCAATCGTCACTAATGAGTTGAATTTATTACCAGTATATTGTAATTACAGAAAGATAAGAGTTGGCAACAAATATAAATCCTCCAAATACAAAAAAGTAGCTTTTAGAACAGTCAACCGACTATTCGTATTAAAACGTTGGACGGAATAGGGTTGGACGTTCCAAGCATAATGCTTATTATAACGATCAAAATATTATTATAGATAGTATATACAAATTTAGTATAATTAAAATCATGTTGCATGTAGGCGAGAGTAGCTGAATTTTACATATGTTAGGGTATGAAGAAGAAAAACAAATCTTTTTTTTATCGTGAGTAAGCATACGTTAACCACAGCAAGCAAGCAGTCTGTAGAGGTACACATTGCTGGTCAAATGGAATTTGATAAAAATAGAATACTATTTACATAATTATATAACAATTAGATGGCTACTTATGCTCAATCTCAGATGTATTTGTA